TAGATAGATAGATAGATAGATAGATAGATAGATAGATAGATAGATAGATAGATAGATTCCTAATATTCAGGAAGTCCAGTGCTAACAGCCACTCTGAGCTGAAAGGTCAGGCTGGGTGGCTCCATGTCCTTACTCTGGAGGAGGCAGCTACTGGTGTTGCTCAAAAATAAAGAAGGTCTATGGTCTCTTAGGGAAGTTTCCTTCCCCTCCTCCTCTCTGGAAGGATGGTGCTCAGCATCTCTAGTCAGGGCTAGGAAGGGACCCCACCAAAGACACTGGACCGTCAAGAGTCTGCACTAGGACAGACCACGAGTGCAGCTCAGGATCAGGCCATTCTCTGTCATCCCGCTGAGTCAGACCCTCCTAGAGGCAGTTGTGCCCCCCCCCATGCTGGAGAGACCCACCCGGCCCTCCCTCCCTCCCTGGTGGCGGAGACTCACCGGGCGGTCTTCTCGCTGCCAGACGTGAGGTGGCAGTTGACGAAACCGAAGGAGGTGCCGTTGAACATGAAGGAGACGCCCACCGCGCCTTTGTTTCCTGAGGAGCGGAAGGGAGGCCAACGTGAGCCGCATGCGGGGGTGACTGGGGTGGGAAAGTGAGCCCCTCGTGTCACAAGGACTACGCTGGAACTCCTGTTCCTCTGTTTTGTGTCCGCTGGTCTGCCAGGCACGAAAAGGAAAGCTAGCCAAAAGCTGGCAAATTTTCCATGCCTTGAAAGCAGCTGCAGAACCTGCTCACTGGGGTGTTCAGGGAGCTAAAAAGCCAATTTGCCAAACTCTGGGGGCAGCGGGGTGGAGACCGGGGTGTCAGGGTTCAGATGAGGCATCCTTTAATCATGTGAGACTAGGGTCACATCCTCTGAAGGGAGGTCTTGGAACAGCGTCTCGTGTGGCTGAGAAAGTCAATTCGAGAGCAGCGATCCCTTCCACACTGAGGACAAATACAAATCTGTCCCCCAACCATGTCCCCGATTTTGCTGGTTTCGGGACGGCCTCTTGGCCTCGGCCTGCTGAACAAGGGTCTCTTCAAATTGGGAGAGGCCGCGATGCGCCGACTGCCTCCAGGTGGGGTCAGGATAAGGGTGCAAGAAACACCCAAAACGCTCTGTGGAATCCCAAAGGCTAACCCGCTGATTCTAGCATGACCGTTCACAGAGTAAAGGCACGCCACACCTTCTAAGGTGCCACAGGACTCGTCCTGGCTTTTCTTCCGGCCGACGAACAGGGGTGCATTAAAAAAAAAAAAAAGAAAAGGCCTGTTTTTTTTCTCCAAGCCGACAGGTCGTTTTGCTGCTTTTCTTTAACGGCACTTACAGGTCCTTTTATTATTGACCTCTTTGATTGCATGCCTGCATTTTATTTCCTTCTTTCTTTCTTTGTTCGCTTGTTGGTTCATTCCTTTTATAAACCGTCCTTCTAGCTAGAGGCCACTCTGGGCGGTTTACAACATAATCAAAGAAAATAAAACACTCCTGGAAATGCAAAAATTAATTGGATGTAGAAATCCGCCCCCGTTCTTGTTATGAGACGCTCTGCACCCAGGGCGATACTGGCCTACATGAAAACAAATACAGGTAACTCTGAGCCCAGAGCTCTGGAAAACTCTGCTCAAACCAAATCCAAATCCCCCTTCCATCTATGCCAGTGGTTCTTAACCTTTGTTACTCGGATGTTTTTGAACTGCAACTCCCAGAAACCCCAGCCAGCACAGTTGGTGGTGAAGGCTTCTGGGAGTTGCAGTCCAAAACTCCTGAGTAACCCAAGGTTAAGAACCAGTGA